GATTAATCGATTAATCATGACAGCCCTAGTTGTATACTTGGTGCTGGATTGAACTAGCTAAAATAATAGGTCACTCCTTTTTTCCTTTTTTTTTACCCTCAAAACAGCTAGGGGGGAAGCTGAGCACTGGAAAACGAGTGGAAAACATGTAAAGGCCAACTGAGGAGAACAAAGAAAGGTGAAGAGGAAAAAAAGGAGTGTGTGGAGTGAGAGTTATAATAAGCCTCTGTGTAGCAGGACTGAAGCTTGAGAGTGTGAACCAACTTGAAGCTCAGTGAGGATAAAAACAGGGCTTGTTGTGAAATTCTGCTTCAACTCGACTCCACATCAGAGAGTGGCATGTCAGCCGTGACATYGTGCTCTCTGTGCTGTCTGGGGTTTAAAATGCAGACACGCCAACCACCTGTCATTACACTGGTGGGGCACGCTGGCAGCGAGGGAGGGGGGCGGATGGCCTATCAAGTGGGCAGGGTCAGCGTGGGTTACTATGGGTACTTTTCCCCGTATCTGTGTGTGATGGAATTCCTAAAGACATTCCCCATCTCCCGGCCTCCCCTCCTTGTGTCACAACTCCTCCGCAGTTTGCTGTCGGGGCCCCCTAACTGTGTGCAGTCCACTGGTGAGACAACCCCGAACTAATGAAATCTAAACACCATCACAACTTAAATTGTTGCGTTTTGTGGATAATTAATCACCCTTTGAGAGAGGCATGTGGGAGCAGAAACAAAAGAGACTAATTCTGTTCTCTGCTGTGTAGCCAAATAAACCCAGTAAGTATTTGCTTATCATCAAGGTTAGACATGAAATTATTTAATCAGAAAATGTTCATGTGGCATCTAACTTCATTTTATGGTCGATCAGCCCAAACAGAAGATCTCATTAAAAAGCTCCACAGTGCTGATTTGCAACTTGTTACTAGATCTGTGCACGTTCATGTTTAAGCGATGCTGTTGCTTCAGATGATTAATCACAGTTGTGGTTTTGGAGTCACATATCCCTCAACTAGTATTAAGAGTCGTAATATTTACAAAAGCAACACATCAGCATCCATTAAAGCTGACTAAAACACTGTATATTATAGTAACACTTTTATAAATATCACTGAAGTGTTATTAGAGCTAAAGATTTATTGTCTTATCAATCAATGTGCAGCAGGTGTGTCATGAAATATTTTCAAAACATACTGTACCTTTTTTTTTCTGTAAAAATTGTGCTTCTCTCATTTGTCAAAACAACAGGTTCCAGCTTTAGAAGTGAACAAGCTTTGTGACACTGAAAGTCCAGAGTTGCAGCTAAAGTTACACGACTTAATGCTGCTTTGTAGTGCCAGACCTTTGGTTGTGAAAAGAAGAAAAGGCATTCTGTGTTTGATTCAGCGTGACAGCAGTTAAACTAGAAAAGGGTGTGGATCAAGCTGCAGAAAGTAACTCTTCTGTGTTGTATTCTGCTTGTTTTTCTCATATCTGATGAAGCCAAACGTGGCAAGGATAGAGTAGGAAAACCCATAAATCCTTGGATCCACATCTCAATCCTTTTTTTATTTAAGGTTCAGAAGTTAAATGTGTTTTTTTTTAATTCAGTTTGATTTTATAACTTGTTTTAATCACACGTTTACAAATGTCCATAAGAAGAGATTTATCTCCTCTAATGGACTTCGAAACATCACTGGTTCTAGTTTTACACAGAATCTGTAAGTAAAGCCATTAAAAAGACCCTCTGCTATAAAAGGTTAAAAACTTTGCTACAGTGAGCCAAGAAGTAAAAACATGATAATTAGGAAACACAGTTAGATTGCTTGAGGTGTGAAATTAAGCTGAGTGAGCCAGGAAACCCAACACTTAGCAAGTTGATGAAATCCATGTTCTTGTGGATTTGTTATCGTGCATCAGATGTCAGAGACACAAAACTGACTTTACTGTTGCTGAATTAAACACCAGGAAGTCTGTGAATTAAGCGGGGTGGGCCACTTAAACAAACTTAGTTTGTTCGATCCCCAGCTCATCAACAAACAGGACCAAAATCCCAAACCTTAATATGTCCAAACTGATTTAAGAGTGCTAAAAGGGTTGTGTTTGTGCTTTAAAAAAAGTGACGTTGATAGAAACATTATGCATGATTAATGTTTTTTCTTTCAATTCAATTCAATTCAAAAAATCTGTTCATTTCATTAAAAACAAAATAACTATATACAATAGAAACTAAGAAAATACACAAATCAAAAAATCTAAATAAAATGAAAGGTAGCAGAAGATTAAATCTTATAATGTCTGCCCCTTTTATCCCCATTCAAAGAAAAGAATTTACAAAACAACACTAAATAAAAATAAAGATAAAAACAACAATTCAAACAACAATTCATAAAGCTTCACATTTTGCTCTTTCATATACCTTCAGAAATCTAGCTTTTATATGTCTCTTAAATTTATACATAGATCTAGCATTTTTTGAGATCACCTCCAGACCATACCATAGTCCCATAAAATTAAAAGATTAAAGTACATCTTTCTCTCAAGCAAGTACGAAAATATGGCTTCACAAACATTTCCATCCCCTTAAGATAATAACAGCTGTCTCTTAACAAAGTTTGCCTGAATGTTGGAAGATATGTTTCTGTGAGCCTTGTACATAAACAGTAAAATATTGTAGTCAACCAAATCATAGAATTTCAAAAATTTCAATTTGCAAAATAATGTATTTAATGGATGGTTTTAATCTTTTTTTTTAGTGATAATTCTTATGGCTCTTTTCTGTAAAACAAAAATTGGATTTGTAATTGTTTTGCAAGCTTCACCCCAGACTTCAATACAGTAACTTAAATGTGGAAAAATTATTGAATTGTACAACACAAGCAGAGCTTTGTCATTGAATAACTCCCTGACTTTATACAGTTTTCCTGTTGTCTGAATGTTTCTATACTAAGTTAAACGTTTGTATGGCTACCGGTGTTGGCAGACACTGTGTTAAAAATGTTTCTGGTGCTTTCAGCAGAATGGTGTGGAGATAAGGTGGTTCCCAGCAGATAAGTGTAGTGAGGTGACTGCAGGGGGAGTTTGACCACTGAGAATGCACATAGCTGAAGGTTTGTGCTGGTTTTTCAGAGGTTTTGTTTATTTAGCTATATGGGCGATCCTCTTACCTTTCAAGTATTTTAATATGTTTTTGTCAAATTTCAGTCCTGGACTTCAGACTCCGAGTGGTTATTTCTAGGGCTGTGTATTGGCAAGAATTTGGCGATACGATACATATCATGATAGACGGGTCACGATACAATATATCCCGATATATTGGGATACTGTAAGCAAGGTGATACATTGCGATTTTTTTGTCCAAAAATTCTTTTAAATAAAAACCTCTTACTGGAAAAAAAAAAGTCTAATGTTTACTTACAATGCTAATGCTACCCTTACTCACTGGCGCTCAAGAGGTAGAGGAGCCAAGTGGCTGGCTCACTGCTGCYAACTAGTGGTCAGAGGCTGAACTACAACATAAAAATGAACGGTTGGCAAGAAGTTTGACATTGTAAACCTTAATAAAAAATCGATACAGGGCTTTAGAATATCGATACAGTATCGGGAAATGAAATATTGCGATATTTCAGTGTATCGATATTTTCTTACACCCCTAGTTTTTTCATATAATTTTCTTTATCATTTTTGCTGAAAACTACATTGGCTGCTTTGCTATAAAAATGCAGTTCATTTACATTCAGAGGCACCGTTCAGAACATGTTTACAGGATGATCCGATCACACGTGGACAGCACAAAATACACATCAGATTGAAGATACATTCAAATCCCATTGCTCATGCTATATTCTGAGTCAATCCCATAGACATCTGCTGCGTTCCAGTAGTCCTGGGAAGTGGTAATTTCCCTGTTCCCRTTGGTAGATTTAAACAGGAATACCCCTTCCAGTGGTAATATTCCACTGGWATAGTGGAAGAAATGAAACTGCYCCCAGTTTCGAATTCAAGATGGTGGCTACTCGCAGCTTTAGAAAGTTAACTCAGCAACTTTTACTATTAATTATCTTTCTTAAATTTTTGTGCATGTTTAATCACTCGCACAAGTAGTGTGTTTTCTGTTCAATGCTGTACATGTTAAAATCAATGTTTATTTGCATGACATACGTAGCAGAGCTATCTTTTTGTCATTGTTTACATTGTAGCAGTGTTGTAGCTAGGTTTGCGGCAACAATACAATCGCTTGTCGGCTAACTGGAATGCAGTTTCATATGGTTTGTTGGGGAAATGATGTCACTACCAGTTACCAGTTCCCGGAATATGATGTAAATGGAACGCAGAAATAAACTATTAGATCATATGGGAAACTGGAAGTTGAAGCCAGAGCAGCTGTATTTGTGATTTTTACAGCTACAGTTGACTGTATAACAGATTGTTTTGTTTGTTTTCATGTAAAACAACAAACAAACAACAATAAACTGAACTGAACTGAATTGAAAAGACACAGATCTGGTCAGTTAGGACCTGTTTTACACTCAGCTGTCAGGTCTGAATCAGACCAGATCCAATCTGAGTTAGCTTGCATAAGGAAAAATAAAATGTACAGTAGCTCTACAGTATATTGTAATCTTGTCCATACAGGAAACATTTAGGCCACAGGAACAGGACCTTCCTGCTGCCCTTGAGTCATATTCTTTCACAGCATTCCTGTTTTTATCTCCATGCTTTTTCTGATCTGGTGCTCTTCACTTCAGTTTAATCAGTTTATAGTCTGTCCACATTTCCCAGCAGTACAAGGAGTGAATGGCCTTGATGGGATCCACACAACCAGCTTTGTATTTTTATCTTCATAGTCTGTGTTTTCAGCTGTAAGTGGAAGTACAGTATATGAAAACACTGGGTCTAAATCCAGCACAGGCACAATTGTAGCTGCCACCACATGGTTTTACCTCTTACCACAGCAGTATGAGAGGTAGAAGGTTTACACATGGGGTGGGGTGACTTCACAAAGATCTTATTTTTCCTGTCTTTGTGTATCTACCCTAACCACTGTCTTACACCCTGACATTTTTAGTTGGTGCCTTAATTACTTGAGAGAATTATTTTTTCTTCTTCAAAACCCCATCATCAAAGTTTCCTGTTTCATCTCTTTAGCAGCTAGCATGGAAAGTTTAGCATTTTTCAGACAGGACTGATCAAGTTTCTCATGTCTTTGTCTCTTTTTTGTGCATCCCCAGCTGGCCTGTTGCTGCGGCTCAGCGGCCTGCTCGTGCTGCTGCAGCTGCTGCCCCAGGATCAAACAGTCCACGGGGACCAGGTTTATGTACGCCTTGTACTTCCTGTTGGTCACCAGCATCTGTATCATCATGATGTCCCCCACTGTGGAGGAGGAGATGAAAAAGAATGTGAGTATAATCTGCAATATAGAACATTTATTAGACACACGTAAACATATGAAGAAATAAAATATGTGGAGTTTCCTCATAGAAACTATATAAATAAATAMATTTTTCTAAAGTAACATCAACCAGAAAGAGTCTATTCTGTGCCCTTTATTTGTTTGAAACATAAAAGTTTCAAACCAGGATTTCTCTTTAAATGGAGAGTGGGTGGAGATGTTTATTCTCAGTTCTATCAGGATTTAATAAATGATAAACTCTGTGGTTACAGTACCAGTTAAAACAAGATCTTCTGAAACACTTTTCAGCCTGGAGCTGATCAGTGTGTGCAGACCGGCAGGTTGAAACATGGCTGCTGGCTTCCCATGATGCCTCAGTGCTAATGTGTCATCCAGTGATATGACGGTAAAACTTGGAAAAAAATGACTCGATTTGATGGAGTTTCCACTTGTAGAAAAGGGAACTCCCTTTCTACCACTTTACCCAGATTCAGACTTCTCATTTATGTTATTTTATAAGCTCATGTTTCTCATCTCTTTTGTTTTGATGTTTATTTTTCTTTTTTTCTTCTGTGAATCAACAAACTCTAAGCTCACATCCTGTGTTCGTTCCTGTTTATTTCAGAGAACGTTCCATTAAACTGGATTAGTGAGTTGTTCTGAGTTGGCATCTTGGTGAGACACATTAAAGGCCTCAGACGTGATGCACACCTTTGTGTTTTCGTAGTGACAAGTAGTCTGTGAGGTTATGAAGTGAAGTGTCACTTTGAGTTTATATACACTCTACTGTCAACATCAGATAGAGATGGAAGAAAGGATGGGAGAGAACATTTTCTGCCATTTATCTCACCAGCAGTAGCCGAGTTTCCTCTACTAAAAAAAACTTGTTGGTGACAATGTTTGTCTACTGATCTTTTTTTAAATTTAGTTTTCCTTTTCTTTCAGTACATTGGGCCTCATGCAAGAACATGTTTGTATTCTTATCCTAAATTTCTCTTACTTTTGTTCGTACGAAGTGTTCGTACAAACATGTCACGTCAGATTCAACAAACTCTTCTATCTKCAGGAAAAGTGTGTAAATGAGCTGCGTAAACTGATGAATGCTCAGGTGCTCGTGCACAGGGAGRGGTGATTAGCATAAWTACCACCCTAAAMACACCATATAAGGATATGTGTTTCCTGCCCGTCATACCAGGAAGTGTCCATTCATAAATGACATCGCAAAGTAAAAAAGAAGAACTTTGAGTTCAGAAATTGAAGTCCTCTCAAAGCTCTCAGAGATCCAGAAAAGAAAATCTGTCATTTTTAGCAGCGTCAGACCTGCTAAAGCCAAGGAATGAAATGACGACTGCTGTTAATGTCGTGTCTCCTGTGGGTCGTACAGTCACAGAAATAAAAATCTAAATCATATTCATCTCTCTTTAGTCCTGCTCCGGTTTTTCTTTGGTCAAAATTTTTTTAATTTAAGCCTAAAGAACTTTGTTACATAGTTTTTCATTTACTCAGAAGAGCAGTCACGCAC